TGTTGTGGAGGAAAGACTGGCGCAAGTCATGTGTTTGCGAACCTTTGAAATTTATTTTGTAAGCAAAGGAATTCTAGGGAGATAACTTGCCTTTCAGCTGCAAAAAAAGGTTTCTGCAGGAAGCTTTATAGAAATGAGGAGGTACAGTGTCTGTGCATTGTGTTTTAGTTCTGTATTTCTTGCTATTAACGTGTTTGCAAGATGCTGCCCACCAGTCCCTTTGATACGCTAATGGCCATTCAGTTATGCTTCATAGGTACTGTGCTGTGGAAGGGAATTTGCCCTCGAAGTCCAAGAGAGTAATTGTGTGCCTGCTGGTGGCAAGATTTTACTCATCTGGACAACCTAGATGTGGCTGCTGCAGTAAATCTTGCAGTCTTGAAGTTCCTGTGCTAGCTGACGTCCCACAAGCACTACAGGCAGTGCTGTGGTGGGGATATTTCCTCAACTGCCCACTGGCTGCCTGCTATGTTCATTTGTAGATGATGACCAAGTGCTGTGGAGGGTCCCCTTCCGGTGTACAGAGAGGAAGGGATCCATTCTGTAAGTTTAAACATTTACATTGAATCAAAGTAATGGAGAATCAGATTTCAATCTTCACTTCTTGTAATGGAAAAATCCATTCACATCGATAGTTTTCCCCAGACAAGTGTCCCTTTTTATGTCCCCTTTTTATACAGCTGCTGAGCAGATTGAAATGGATACCAGGGGTTTGAAAATTGAAAACCTTAAATTTTCACATAAATTCCAGGTCAAATCTGTGTAGTACTTCACTACCCTTTACAGTAAATCACACATAAAGCTAAGTTATGCCTCATTTTAAATGACAGAAGAGTGCTTGGACTACATGGTAGCCCTTTCCAATAACAGCTGAATAAAAGAAGAAAAACTAATAAATAATTAAGGCAGTAATGTGTTTGCCCAAATAATTAAGGCAGTAATGTGTTTGACCACTGTTTTTTTTAGCATGACTTTTTTCTGTTATTATTGTAACAGAAATGCTCCTTTCAAAGACAACTAAAGCTCTAATGGTAGCTAAGAAGGTCATTCCTGGGAGGTTAAACTGGTTTAATTAGAATTTATGAGAAGGTTACTCTAAGAGTGCAGAAAGATGTTAAGGGGTTAACCTATAAGAGATTACATTGTAGTCAGTGTTCTGTTAAAGTTTGAATTAATTTTTCCCATGGGTTTTTCACATTCTAATTTTCAACTAAATGAGACATCTGTTTCAGAAAAGGAAAATTTGCTATGGTTGTCATAGCAACTATCATTCTGTAAGAAAATTATTCCAATGGTTACTTTAGAACAGAAAGATAGAAATTCAGTACATAAAGCAACATCCGATTGCTAGCACAAACTCTGATAATTCAGCCCTTTTTGTATGGTGGATTATTTGACCTGCAAAACCTGTTCATATGTTTTTAACATAAGGTTAATTGTGCTGTAAACAAATTCACTTCCAATGTCTTTTACCCCTAGCGTCTTACATGTTGACAATCATTATTCTAGCCATAATAATAATAACTGTTGGAATTTCAGTAGTATATGGAGAGACTCAAACTGTTCAGTGTAAGAAGACCTAAATCAAAGTACATTTCTATATATGAGCACTTCAGAGATGAAATGCATTCATACTGTATGTCTTTAATTGCCAAATACATTTGGGGTTTTTAGGGAACAGTGGGTTTTTCTCTTATGGAACATACATGACAACAGTATTGTCTTTGTAAAATGTAAAATATTATGGTATGTAATATGTAAATGTAAAACATTCAATATGTCTGAAACCAGGATATACTGAAAAATAATTAAAAAAAAAATAACACTTTTCCTGAGCAATCATTAAGTGGGGCTCCAGAAATTTGGTGCTTCATATGAAGAATTTAACTTACTTTCAGGTTCTATTGTAAATGCAAATTTTAGACAAAGTTTTCTTTGTGCGAAACCCAGGTCACACACTTGTTAATTGGGTATTTGAGAAGACTTTTTTTCCCCTAATCAGAAACTTTGCAGCAAGTTTGCAGAGAAGGGGTCTTTGGGGATTTATAAAATCCCTGCGCATACAAAGATGGTTTTGCTTTGGGGTGGGGGCACTGATATGTATGATTTGTCTTTCTTCTCTCAGATGTAAAGCATACCAACATCCTCCCCTGAATCCTTTCTTGGACTTCAGATTTTCCCTTTTTTTTCCCAGAAATATTCCAGACATTTCTTTCGATCTTGGGATTGTCACAAAAGACAGCATAATGGCAAATCACACAAGTTGTAACATCTCCCCTTCACAAAAGAACAGCTCCAGCATGCATAACTTACCAGCCCTGCGCTCAGGCGGCTACGCTGCAGTCACCACAAAGGGAGGGAGGGAGGGACGAGGGAAAGTGCTTCTTGTCTTAATAAGCAGATCATGCCTATTCATAAGGGGAAACGGGCTTTTTAAAAAGTGGCTGTGTACAGGCTAGCCCTAGTAGAGGCAGGCAGAGATTCTCGCAGCTGCATGTGCCATTTTCAGCCATTCGGATTTCAGCAGGACTAAGCTGACTTTTGTTAAGACTTGGGGCAGTCATAATTATTTCTCTTTATAAATACTTTGCACCTTAATATCATTCCATAGGTTTTTGATCTTTTCTTTTTGGACAAGTACCAGTCTTTCCCCTTGGTTTCTTTCTTGGGCCGTGGAGTGGCCATGGCCCATTGTGCTGTGTCCGGCAGACTTGTGGGGTGCAGGACAGTGCCTCACCTCACTTCCCATTGAGGACCTGGGGATAGTCCTGTCCGTGCCCAACAGCACTGGTGCCAGCAGCAGATGGGAGCAGGGGCCTGTATTCACTGAATCTGTCAGGGGCTTTAAAAGCATGATTTACTATTCTGACACTTTGTTTGCATCCTATTTGCCCTTGCAAATATTTTGCTGAGATTCTGCTCCTGGAAAACTTGCTCTGGGCCTGTAGACAATTTGCCAAACAGTTGAATATTTTTCATCTTCATGGTGCTTAGCATGTAAGTCGTGGAACGCAGTCTCAAGGCAGGAATGGATGGAGAGTTTAGAAGCAGTCTAACCTCTGTATATTTTTATAAAGCCTGCCACTTCTGTAATATTTGAGTGCCTCACAGACTTCAGTTTTATTTATTTTCATGGCATTCCTGTCAGATAAAAATACTCTCATTTGTCAATGGAGAGCTGAACGTAAAGACAGGCTGGAGTTTGGTTCTGTGTAACAGCGTTGTAGCATCATGGTAACATCATTGGTTGCCTACTGCAGAATAAGCCAGTAACTACAGTCAAGAATCATTTAGGTTGGAAAATACCTTTAAGATCATGAAGTCCAACCGTTAACCCAGCACTGCCAAGTTTCCTCACTTAAATCATGTCCCTGAGCGCCATATCTATGCATCTGATAAATATCGCCAGGGATGATGACTGCACACTTCCGTGGGCAGCCTGTTCCAATGCCTGATAACCCTTTCAGTCAAGACATTTTTCCTAATATCCAGTTTAAGCCTCTCCTGGTACAGCTTGAGGCCTTCATCTCTTGTCCTATCACTTGTTACTTGAGAGAAGAGACCAACACCCACCTAACTATAACCTCCTTTCAGGTACTTGTAGAGAGTGATAAGGTCCCTTCTGAGCCTCCTAGCTGGACTGTGAGTTACCCCCCAGAAGGTGAGAAGTCATGTACCTGTGAGCCAGGTGCTGTTATTCCTATGAGGAAAGGCTGCTAGGAGTTGAACAGGTAACCAGAAAACTGTGATTTCATATCCTTGATATAGGGATATGTGTTTCTTAGCCAGATGCCTTGGTCTGAGCAGCGTGACTCAGAGCAAGGTTTCTGCTTCATTGCTACTGCTATTAGCATCTTTTTTTCACACACCTTCACCTCCCTTATCACAGCTTTGGGAGCCTGGGATATATTTCCGGTCCCAGTGGCAGATGTAGAAAGTTTTACCTTTTATTCTTTTTCCCTGGGACACCTGTTTATCCAGACCCTGGTTATCCATGGCATGTGATGAAGAGCTACAAGATAAGCCCTTAGCTTTGGACACAGAAAGCCTTTCAGTTACCTGTCTAGAATTGTTTAGGCTGTTTGTTTGTGGAAGAAAGGCAGCCTATTTGTTGTTCTCCAAATATGGATTTGGCCAGAAGATGTCAGTCAAAAAATTATTAAAAAATTCCAACCTAAAACTAATCCTTCAATTTTATGACCTAGAATCAGAGCATAGTCAGCAAGACATAATTTACCACCGTGATATAATTGCTGTGAAATACAGTTTTTTAATCAATGGGATAGCAAGACATGGATAAATTGTGTTCCGACTGGCAGTGTTACAGTCCCACTGTTCCATGATGAGCTGCTCCATAAATATGTTTTAAAAAATGTAAATGCCCATATGATAAGAAATCCTGAATATGGAAAGTCTTACTTAAAAGGAAGTCAGCACACCAAGGACAGAAGAAAATTATGTGTAAGGATAGAAGCAGTATTCTGGTTATGATGGGATGCTTACAATTAGGGGAACAAAGCAGCATAGATGATGCCTCCGACTTTGGAGTGGGATCTGTCATTGTGCCAGGGCCTGTCCTTGCCCAGCTGGTCATAGGCTAAGGGCCAAACAAGACAGGAGCCAGTTTGAAACATAGATCCACACCTATGTATCTGAGATACGTGTTCTTTTAGATGTTGTGGGAGTGCAGCATGCTAATCCACACATGGAGATCTTGTTATCCAGCTCTTGCAAGAGTTACTTTTCAACTAGTTAGAGGAATACTGTGAATGTTTTACTGTATGCTGCTTACTGAAAGTGGTAAGGACTGCACTGATTTTCCACACAAGCTAAATAACACTGGTTGTATGGAAAGAGAGTTTTACTGTGCACACAAAGAAGACAATGAATGCTATTTGTGTCTCCAAATTCCATGCTAGTAGAGAGTCAATCTCCGTATTTTAATTAGATAACCAGTATATGGAAGTAGCACTGAAGACATTCTCCTCCTTTCTTGGCAGGCAACCTTGGTTTTATGGCTGGGGCTTTAATCTTCCACGAGGCCAAGCACTATTAGAGAAATGGAACCTTATTCCAGATGGAATAGATATTCTTATAACACATGGACCACCTCTCGGTAAGAAAATACTAGTGCTCTTAGCTGTGTATTTCAGATGATTATCTGAAATTATGTTATTATGAGTAACTGATGCCTCTCCTTAGACAAAGAGTGCAATCCTGACTTACAAGAGTCAAAAGTAACATCCATACTGATTTCAGAAGCACCAGGACTCCAGCCCAGGTTTATGTTTAATGATTACCTTTGCTCAGTGGTAGGGAATTAAATAATGGCTTAAAAATAAAGCCTTAACATATAAAGCCTTAATGAGCCTTATAAACATGAGAGATCTGATTTTCCTATGCATCTGTCCACTCTGTCACTGCTGAAATTGGTAGGTTTAAAGCATGGAGCCTGCTTGAAAGAAATGCAGGATCGGGTTCTTCTATTTTTAGCGCTGCTTTTGTCCTTCACTTTCAGTAGCATTCCCCTACCAACAAGTACCCAGAGTCTGTGTTTTTCCTCATCATGCTGACTTGGTGCATCTCCTGCCTCACAAACCCAAATGCTGTCGTTGTTTGCCTGTTCTTTGAACAGTGTGGGTGAATTGCCTATCTGTAATACAGTCTGGCAAGACAAACACACCAACAAGAAATAGTTCTGCATTTGTGTTTTACAAATATTAATATAGGTGATATAAAAGTCAGGAGAGATTTCTTGTATTCCTAGAAAAAAGTGAATGTGTGTTACAGAAATAATGTAATCTCAGAAATTTGTCCAGATTTAGTAAAGCTTTTAACATGGTTTTCAATGTATTTAAGATACAGCAGGCTACATTTAATGCAGCTGTGAATGTAGCTCTCACTAATTTAATCAGTGGACACGAAGTTGAAGCATGTACTTAAGTGGTCTGCTGAGCCTTACTGTGGAGTGCTTTGTGTGAAATGAAGGCAGCTGGTTTCTTTAAACCTTTAGATTCCCCAATTTCCGGAAGCTAAGACCCTCTTGTCTTCCACCCTTTCTTCTCCTCTTTCAGAGCTTGGAGGAGAAAGTATCTAAGGGGTTTGTGTTTTGTTGTTTTCTTTAGAAAGACATGTTTGCATTCCACTGCTCACTAATCCTGGGGGAAAGGGCTTTTTTGTGAGCACGGTTTCTCACAGTGGAGGCATGTGTTTTGATACTTCACCTAAGTGGAGCCTCATGTCATACCATTGACTGATTTTAATATGGACCTCTATTGTAAAAGTGGATGGCAGAAATTAATTATTTAGACCTTGAGATATCAGTTCCAAACGGTTATTACTGGGGATAATTCCTGTTAGGATGCAAGGCATGACACTGGGCCTTTGATATACTTTTATTTATAAGGCATATTTAAAACTTTTTCAGAAGCTTTTTCAGCATTTTTAAGCAATTTTTAAAACCAGCTGATAGCTGTAAAGTAATCCAACCTTCAGTAATATCCGTGTATCTAGCACATGAAATCTAATGTTGGAAAGTGGAGAGAGGGGTTCACGCCACCCAGCTTTAGCTGCCTTGGTAATTTAGCCACCAGGCCTCTCCAGGCAGCCTCTGGGATCAGCAGAGGCAGGAGAACCTCTAGAGCACACTGCAGAGCTGCCACTCAGTGGACATGCTTTAATAATAAATTTAATAATGAATTTAGTAATCGTAGTAATTCTGATGAAGAGCTGCCCATCTCCACTGACTGTAATGGGGAAACATTAATTCCCCCATCTCCATGTCTCAGTATTTATTCTCTTTTTGATTCTTAAGCTTCAACTGTCCTCCAAGGGTTTAGTTTTTTAAAAGTTCCCATTTCTTTGTCTTTCTTTTTGATGCATTAATAGATGGCTCAGGCACAGAACCCTCTGCATGAGGGCATCAGCTGTTGGTCTCCCTGACACCCATTGCAACAAATATATGATGCTTCAAAAGAAATTAGCACTCTGCCTAACTTACAGTACCTCCTTATGGTGTAGCTCGGTCCACAGACATTTTGGGAGACAGGATCCTCCTTGACCCTCCCAGCCAATTATTTTAACCAGAAAACTGATTACTGTTGTTCTGATCTTGGACAGCATCACCAGAGCTGTTCCTAATGATCATAAATAGCAATCAGTGCTCTTGCAAATTCCTCTTCTCTTTTTTTTTTCTCCAGCATGGCTGCCTAAATTCTGTCCATCGTCTATTTTTTGTGCTGCTTTCTCCTTCACTCACTTCAAAAGAGCACGCATCCTTCTAAACTAATTAATACTACGTTATTAGATATATTTTTAAATTGCCTGCATGATTTAGGTGCAGAAGCACCATTAAGAGTTAATGGACTTAGTGTTTCTAAATCAGTTAGGCATGTAACAAAATTCTGAGTAATTTTTCTTTTCTGAGTAGTGCTTTGGGATGAAACCGGGGGAGGGATACACAGGAGGTTCACACAGGATGAGAAAACAAAGGTTAAAACAGCTATTATTGACCATTTTATGTGACCTGTGTGTTGTTAACTATGATAAGATATATATTTCATAGCTTATGAAATACTGTATTCGTGATTATGGGATCAGTGCTAACGCTCATTTCTATATCGGCATGGTTTTGTTACATTTATATATGGTATAACTTATCAAGTCTTTTCCCTGATTCCTAAAGGTCTGCTTTTATGATTCTTTTATTCATCTTCACAAAGTTTACTTTTCTTTGTTTGTTTTTAATTTAATTTCACCTTTAAGTCTTCATTTGTAGCTGTCTGCTCGATTGTCAGTGACAAAGATTTATACTTTCCTGACAGCTGCAGAAACCTGTTTCAAGTAACCAAACATTAAAAAAACCCTAAGATGAACTCTAATTGTTAGCTAGGTGTAATCAATTATTCTTAGTTTGTGTAGTCAGGTGTACATAATAAGCTGCAAACATATGGGAAAGCTTCAGAAGGGTGATAATGCATGTAAACAAAAACATGTTCAACATAAATAATGCTTAATTTAATGGAGAAGTTAATTTTATGAATTTTTGTTTGTGAAGTTTTTGAAGTGGAAATACTTTCAGCTTTATGTTCACCACAGACATTTTGACAATTAACTATTTCAAATCACTGCAGTAATAAAGCCTATGATTATAACACTCTTGCTCTGAAAAAAAGCCTGACTGGATTCCAGGGGAGTTTCTGGCCTCATTTTGGCATCCTAAATACTTATTATTTCCTACGGTGAATTTTTGACCTGCATTGGATACCGGGGGTGACTGATAAAAATCAGTTACCAGAACCGAACATTGCTCTGCTCCCTCTATAGTTCATCAGGGCTTTTTCTTTGTACATCTTCGTGTCTGAATTAATTAGGAGTCTATGGCCATCGTGAGAACTTCCTTTTTTTTTTTGACATTTAGGATGCCTCATTCCCAACTCATTTATGAAAATTGAACTTTGCTCTTTGAGTAACTATGATAAAAGGGCAATTTTTTTTCAATTTTCATAAAACTCCACACTACACTGAGGCCAGTTTTCAAGCACTGGCATCTAGAGATGATCATCTCAATGTGTGAACCTACCCTGAAGCTCTAGCAAATCTGTGAGTTTTTCCAAAAGCTTGAATGCCGCAGTCCTGGTCTTAAGCCAGCTGGTTAGCTGCTATTTAGCCATGCTCGAGTGGACGTCAAAAGTAAACATATGAAAACTAGGTCCATGCTCTATACCTCTCTGGCTGATTCCTGTTTTCTCAGAAGCACAATATATTCCTTCTGTCGCAGCAATTTAAGAGATACAAAGCTATGACAGGTACACAGGGAAAGAAGAACTAAAGAGAGTGATTATATCTTTTAGGTTTCCAAATTTGAGACTGATGAAAATGTCAGAACAATAGAAAGATAACAAGAATGGTTATTGCAAACCCTCTAATAAAACAACATCCTTCTTATACTACTACTTTGAAGGAAACATGAGACTTCAGTTGCAGCAAGCGTACCCCTGCGGTATGTTTGTAGACATTAAAAGCAAGTTGGTGTATGTTTTTGTCTGTATATATAAAAAAAAATGAATTTTTGTACAAATGTGGTGCAACTAACTATAGCTCTTAAAAACATCTACTGCAGATGGGCTGAGTTTCTTTTCCTATTTGAGGTTCATAGATTTAGGCTAGTTGGCCTTGGTATCTCATGAGCTGCTTAAACTCATTTACTTGATAAGGTTGGGTTTAGGTATGCGCTGGGTTGCCCATGTGAATTCCACTACTGTAAGACTGAATGTGATAACAGTACAGTTTTATTACTAATAACACAGATTCCATTACGTCAGTTAAATTGTTCGATTTCAAAAACTACATCTCAGGGCTAGACTTAAATAGCCAAATGTTGATTTGAATTCTCAGGAGACTGACTTTGGACATACTGCTCTTTTGAACCTCACTCTGTTAAAGGAAGAAAACTTCGTAAAGCATTGAGTTTTCACATTAAAAATGCTTTAATTGCAGTGATTTATTTTCCCTGGAAGACACCTGGCAAAGTGCTACCATAGTCCTTTTTCTTCAGATGAGTTTTTATGGTTTTCCTCAAGTATTTTTCCTTCCTTCCTGCACTTACCAAGGCAAACACTGTTATTTCCATGTCCATTCTTCAGTGGCTGCGTATGAAAAGCCACAAACCATTAAATCTCAGAAATGCTGTATAGCAGTACAGCTTTGCAGATACCCTGTCTTCTTTTAAAGCTTTGTTTTTTTTCCAAGGTTTTCTAGACTGGGTTCCTAAGAAAATGCAACGGGTAGGATGTGTTGAGCTGCTGAACACAGTCCAGAGACGAATACAGCCAAGGCTTCATGTTTTTGGACATATCCATGAAGGTCAGAACACATTTCTTTCTCTCTCTCCATACATATATATGTGGAAACCACAAACACAGGAGTTGGCTGGTTTAACAGCATTTTCAAACTTGAATGTCTGAACTGAAGCACTTCCGGAATTCAGATACTTATTTAGCTGCATATATAGAGAGGAAATTGGCTGATAACTCTAATTTCAGTATTTGTACTATGGCTTCTTTTCTACGTCTGTAAAACAGGGTGATGCCTCCTGCACAGAGAGGATTACTGTGAATTTTAAAACAAGAACATGAGTCCAGTAGTTACAGAAAGTGACTAAATATTAGGATTGATGGATTGTATTTTCCTCTGCTGAGTCTCTGTGACCTAAGACAGATAATTCATGTAAGATCTCTGTGTCTCAGTTTTCTGTGTGTGTAAGAATACTTTGAGGGGTGCTTCTAAGGCTAAATCTTCAAGATTGCACAGTAAAGGTTGTCTCTCCTCATCAGCATGTATATGAAATTAAAATCAAGAGGGATGTCACCACTGTCTTGGGCAGAAGTTTAAGATACTTATTTGTGTATTTGTTTGCTTTGGCAAGGAAAACATTTTGTACTCAGACAAAACAAAATGGTTCCCCTGACTATTTTCATTTTTAACTGGAAACAAATGAGTTCCCTTCACATAAGTCAGTAACTGGTGACAAATATGCTCCACTGAAGTCAGTGATCAGGGGAGTTTGTTTCTAGACAAAGGGGAAGTAGGTGCTGTCTGCTGTAGAGATGTCTGTCTTATTCACATACTGTGGCAGCAAGACTTCAAGCAGTGCCCCCACCCAAAGAAACCACTGGGCTGTGCAGAAGTGTACTCACTGGCATGTAAGCATGTTATTATCAGCTGCTTAGTCCTTGGCAACATTAATTTACTGGCAGAAAAAGGTGCTCCATAACTGCCAGTTTTCTGCTTCTGGGACTGCTCCAGCCTTTGATGTAGGATTTCTGTAGGTCTCACCAGTGTAGAAATGAACAAGTGGGAACACTGGAGTAGCTGGAATGCAGATATTTCTGGTTTTGTGAAGAATCATTACCCTTCCCAAGAAATCCCACTCCAACTTGCTGCTAGGGGCTTTCACAATGCTAAGTTAGAAGTGACTTTGCTGAGAGGTGTGCTGGTGTGAAATTGATGAAGAAGACATTCAAATCATTATTTTACAGCTCAGGGATTAAGTCGATTCTCCTCATGTGTCTTGTCTGTGGTGACCTGTTAATGCCTAGCTAGTGTCCAGTGTGCTGTTAAATCACAGAGTGAACACACAATACATAGACAGTATTTTCTCTAACCCTCCACTGTTAGAGCAGTCTTTGAGATTCTGTACAAGAGGGTTGGTGAATACAGTTCAAACTCATTGTCTTTTAAGAAATAGTAAGCCAAGTGGGTTGCAGGGGATATAAGCAAACAGTTAGCAAGCCATGAAGCTTCAGGCAGATAAACAAAATCACATCTGCTAAGACCAAACCCAACTTTGGCTCCCAAGGGAAGAGAATGGCACCTCCACAGAATAGTAAATCCTGTGAATTAATACAGTTGGCACAGCAGATACCAGAGCACAGAAACAAGGTACTCGTCTTGTTAACTCTCATAATTTAGAGAAAGCAAATGGGGAACTGCATAGCCTGTTTTGCAGTGGGATGCTAAATCTCTGCAGAGGAGAATTCCCATTGCAGACAGCCTGTGCAAACGAAGCTGTTCTTTGTAGAGGGAGTGCATGATTTTGAACAGATGAGTTCTTCCCCTGACTGAGCATAGCTACATCTGCATCAGTCATTTACTGAGTATCCAGGAGGAAAAGATGCTTAGAAGAGATGTTTCTTCTTTATTCCCCTTCTGCACTGCTGTCTCTGCCAAAAAATACCTCTACACATGGGCTTGCTGCTGGTTGACCCACAGAAGTGACTAGCAGTATGGCAGGGACTCTGGCTAAAATCCTGCTTTGCCCATTGCAGCCAGTACTTGGCCAGGGTAATGGACAAGGAAACTGCTGGCAGTAGGGTGTGAGTGAGAACTGTAGCATTAGTAATCTTTCAGCAAAACGAACATATGAGCAAGCTGATTCTGTTCTCTCTAAAGATGTAGCCGAGGAGACAGAAAGTCCCAGCAGCAATGCTGACTGTCCTCTGTGCAGTTTGTGTTTTACACAGAACAATTGTTCTGTGGCAACAGCAAATGATTTAAAGAAATGTCTGTGACAGGAACCTGACAGAGTTTTCTTCCCTCCCTTGTCCCTAATTATAGCGTGGCTTTTCCATGGGGAGTCCAGGAGGCCTTGCATTATTCAGGGTGTTGTAAAGAACAAAAAAGAGAGGAATTTGGCTACTGTTTCTTTGTTTGTAAATTATGCATCTATCAATGCTTCCATAAGACATAAAATTGCACTCAGAAAAACTGTAGAAACCTAAGCACTTAGGATTTGAATAGCTGTACCTCAGTGTATGTAGCAACGAATACATTTCACTATTAACTTCAATGATAGTGGGATTGAATCTTAGTACAAATGCTTTCTATCATGTGATTTCCCCAAAATCATATATTTCTGATTTTGAATGACGATGATCATAATGTTTTAATGCAAGTTTCCAACATTAAGCTTTTAGTTTTGATGAATCAAGCTTCTGTTTTTTCCTAGTCATTCATGAAAAGGTTTCTGGCAATGGAGAGTGTGTCTACTTTTTCATAACATGAGGGCATTTAAAGGGCTGCTGCTTCACTCTCTGAAACAGCATTTCATTGTATTTCTTACAGGCATTAGAGCTGGAAGTCTGATTTTTTTTGCAGATTTAGCTCTGGAATTGTTTGGCTTGGGTGTCTAGTCAGACATGAGATGTAGTTAAAGCTCTTTTACAACTGATGAGACTTACAGAAAAGTGTTTCCTCCTGTGGAAATGCTATGGTGTCTTAAATTCACCTTGTCATAGCCATGCTTTTTCTTCGACTGGTCAGGCATTTTAGTGTCTTTCCAGCAAATTTGGTGGAACTTGGTCAACAAATTCAAGCACATAGTGACAAGAGATTCCTACTAGACAAATCCCGCCCAGGCGCACATGCACACGTACTCCCCTTAGTCAAGCAATGCTTTATCCTTATCGGTTGCTTAAAAGATACGTAACACAGGACAGGAAAAAAGGTGGAAAGATGAAAATTGTCTAGAGTTTGCTGCACTGATGACTGCAAACCTAAATGATCACAACTATGGGTTTTTTTCAATGCTGCAATTGCCTAAGCTCTATCTATCTTCTTATCCTTTCCAAAACTGAGAAGGTTTTAAGAAAAAAGCTTTGCAGAGAAAACCACCTGCCTTTCCAGGAAGGTTCGGTGAGCTGGCTACCAGAGAATATAGCCACTAGCTAGGGAGGGGGTCCATTTTGATTTTCTTACACAATTTAAAAGATGACAAAAACTTCTGCTGTAGGACAAAGATGGTGTGAATTCAGGAGACCTCTATGTTTTGCATGAAGAGAATTTTTAAATTCCTTCTGAGTAATAAATGTGGCACTTACTGCTGTGTGATAAAGGCAAATAATTAAAAAGGGAAGAAGATAGTAATGAATAATGAGAGTAACCAGAGTTTGTCTTTCTTCACAGGCTATGGTGTCATGGCTGATGGAACTACTACCTATGTGAACGCATCTGTGTGCACTGTGAATTACCAGCCACTTAATCCACCTATAGTTATTGACTTACCTACGCCAAGGAACACATGATTATAATGAGGATTTAAAGTTGTACCCAACACATTAGCGACTTTATATTGCTGGCTGAGAATCCCAATAGGGATTCATTCAACAAAAAAAAAGCAAAAATCTTCTTTTTTTCCCTGCTAGCTCTAACAGATAAATTTTGAGTGACGAAAGTGGATGAGGAACAGAGACATTTTGGTGCCAGAAACAGATTAAAGACTCTTAACATTTCACCATTAAAATATTTGTGAACACAGAAAAGTGAATGCATTCCACATATATAATATACATATACATATATATATATCAAGCAGGGATTTTTGTATATACCGTACATTATATTGGACTTATTAAAAGAACAATGTCTTTCAAAGTAATGTTTCTCTAAGAAAGTTTGCAGTTTAAACTTAAGTGTTTAGACTAGGATTTCCTCATTTCAGATGTTTCCCAGTGAGCTCTCGGTAAAAGAAGAATGATGGTAAAGATGTGTTCCCTTAATTAACAAGGCAAATATAAAAGATGGTGCACGAATGACCAGTCACAGGAGGAAAGCTGTTACTTCAAGTCCTCCAGGTCTATGTCTTTGCATCTATTCAAAACCAATGCAATAGAGGCCCTAATTCACTGTACTGAAATGAAGTTTTACTACATCTGGCGTTACAGATGGTAAGGGAAATAGTGCATATTGCCAGCATGCTGTAAACAGCTCAACGTTCAAGAAGGGCGACTGTGTTAAGTGCAGTATAAACTCAGGAATTTGTAACCTGGCCTCACCTGTGCAAAAAAAAACAGAAAAGGATGGCATTTCCCTTAAAAAAAAACCACCAAAACACACCAAAAAACAGAAAAGAAAAAACTGTAACTGTGTTTTCTTCTGGTCAGCTGATATGTGATTGTATGTTCATTAGTGGTATTTTAAATAAAATCCACTGGGACTATTTAAAACGTGTTAATGGGACATGCAGCCAATAATGAGGTTACTGATTTGAATTTGGCCCCAGTCAGAAAGTGATTAAATGTCATCATTTTGTCCTTGGGGAATGTTACAGATGTCAAGGGTAAGGGGTCTTCCCAAGGTGGAGATTGGGCATTCACTTTTGGGTAGCTATGTAGCAGTGCAAGTACACACTAGTGGGTACAGAGACTCGTAAAATCTGTCATTGGTGTTCCCTGACTTATGGACACTGCTAAAAAAGGCCCAAGACAAAATTGTCAACTCAGTTGAAACCCATCTGTTGTTTTGCATGTGACGCCAGGTAAAGCAGGGCATGTGTCAGAAGCTTACTGGGGTGGCCAGGTGCTATGGTACTGCCCATACGTCTTTCCTGCAGGTTAACAGAGGTGTTGAAGCTGCTGGGATTAAAACCTTCCTGGGCAGAAGGTTGAGAGTTGATTACAGACCTGCCAGAAAAAAAAATGTTTCAGATGTGCCCTACAAGAAATGGTTTTCTGTCTTGAGCTGACAATGGTCAGTTCATCAATAACTCTGTGTGCAGAGAGGAGCTGTTTTAATTTAACTGCTGCATCCTGAATTTGGGGCTGATGGCATCTAGACATTAATCTTGTGCACATATATTGGGCAGACCATCACGCTACCAATACAGGCTTGTTTGCAGGTCCGTGCATAGTCCACATCTGCACACATGCATTGGATAATTGTGTATGTTACTTTTCGCTTAATCTGTGGGTGTAAATGAGCTTCACGTAGCAGCTGCATGTACTTCATATGCATACACAATTTAAAATGCCTGTGTCACAAAACCAGGCTATGTCAGACTCAACTCTAAGCAAGGTGGGCAGAAACATTGTGTTTTGCTGGCTTCCCATGGACAGCAGCTCTTCCAGCTGCTGCTGGGAGCCGTGGCCTTCGAGCCCCGTAACTGACTCATGCTGTGGACCCACCAGAAACCAACAGAAAACATGAGAAGTTGCAGGTCTGTCGTTCCCTGTAAGCTTTTGGGTAATTTGGGGTCTAAACTAACGTGCTGCTTTTTCCTGAAACAAACCCCAAACCAACCAGTGATGCCCACAGCTGGTTATTGGGTGAATAGTTCACAAGTGCATGAGTAGCCTGCCATGAATTCAGATGAGTGCTGTTGTCGAAACTATTGGTATAGAAACTGCAGGATCAGCTCCTAAATCAGCACGCACTGAAATTGAGTCAGATATGAACTCCGGCCATCACTGGGAAGATGAGCAATAGCACATAGTTAGAATAAAAGTGTCTTAGCTAGTCACAATTCAAGCAATTTGCCACAAATGTGGCAGGAAATTGGCTGTATGTTAAAAGTCTGAAATGTTTACATTCGCTCACGGCACTTAAGAGACTAAAAAGTGTTAAAGTTGGGGAAGAGGTCCTTTTATTAGGCTCAACAAAATTTGTATGTTGACCATAAACTATTCTCTTAAAAATAATTTTTCCCAAGGCATCTTCAAAATACTGTGTATTTTTATGTGGAAAGGATATGAAAGCAGCTGTTCCTTCAGAATATCGTTTAAAGTACTTGAGGTATGAAAGCTTAAAGATTATTTAATCATTTTGCCATAACTTGATTGTTGTTGTACTTTTTGGTCAAGCATGTTGGACAAATAAAATCTTAAAAAACCCGAAACAAACAAAAAACAAAGCCTCTTTATGTCCACCTCATGCATTCTGTGGGAAAGGCTGCCTGTCTGCTCCAGGAGTAGGAGCCAGGCTGCAGGACATGAAAGGTGTTATCAAGAGGAGTTGAGAGGCATCTGGCAGAGGGGCTGGGGGGTGGTAGACAGAAGGTGCCCTGCTGCACCTGACAGCTTCTTCTGGCCACCACATCTGCAGAAGGCAGCAGATCGGAAGTCGGGTTTGCAGAGAGGGGAAAGCCACAGCTGCTAACCTGTAACCAATGTGTTCTGGTGGGGGAATATGCCAGATGTGTCTGTGAGGCTGGGCAAAGCTAACGTGAGGAAGTGCTGCAATGGGGCTGTGAACCAGTAAGAAACGGGGGTGCCATGCTTTGGGAATGGGCAGCAGTCAGGGGAAGGATGGTTTGTGCTCTGAGTGTAAAGACATGAAACTCACAGAGAGGGAGAACAAAGTGAGGTGACTTTAACTTTGTGGGCACAGTCAAGGCCTAGGCTTCTTGCCTCAAATCTGGTGTACCTCGGACTAGGGAGGCCGTGAAAAGGAAGGTTTCCCCAAACAGGGTTTTCATTTGTCGGCTCTTTAAATTCAGGGATGCTTTCTCAAATCATTCTCCCACACCACCTCTCCCATTGCTGACCTTCACTGATACTTATCCAGACAGCATTGCTCCCAAAAGTGAGCTGATGTGTATCGCTAGTAAGTGTATAGAATCATAGAATGGTTTGGTTTGGAAAGGATCTTAAGTTTATCTAATTCCAACCCACCTGCCACGAGCAGGGATACCTCCCACCTTCCACATTTCCAACACTGCAGAATTGTTAACCAAGTTTGATTTCAGTTCATTTTGACCATGAATAGGGGAGATAGCACTGCACGTCAATGAAAAAAACCAATGTTATTTTCACCTCCCTTAGTCACATATGGCTGAGGATGTGAAACTTTCCTTGGCTACAAGCAATGGACAAGCTGGGACTCAGTTGCCTTTTCCCAGGCAGCCCCAACCCACTACAGCTGGTAGTCCAACCTGTGGAACTGCGTTTAGGCTTCCACATGATGCTACATGGTGGCACCTACAGCCAGGCTCCAAAACTGCAGCGGTCTTCAAGGAAGTTGCTGCAGGGAGCAAGGCGGGTGGGAGCAGCTCGCCTGCCTGGCCCTGGCGGGTGCCCCACCGACCAGGTAGCTGTGGGCAGGGAAGGGAAAAAGCTCTGTTCTCTGGGTGATCACAGGAACAGAGCGGGTGTGAAGTGCTCTGGCCTTGCTGCAGGAGGGAGCCTGTGGGGATAAGAAGTGGTTTGTCTTCTCCAGTTGCTGACAGCTGCTAATAGAACCCTAGAATGTTTTGCATTGGAAGGGACCTTAAAGACCATCTAATTCTACCTCCCCTGTTATGGGCTGGGACACCTCACACTAGAAGAGGTTGTTCAAAGCTCCATCCAACCTGGCCTTGAACACTGCCAGGGATGGGGCAGCCACAGCTTCTCTGGACAGCCTGTGTCAGTGTCACCACCACCACCACGGGAAAGAATTTCTTCCTAATACCAAGTCTAAATCTACCCTCTGTTGTTTTAAAGCCATAATAGCCAATGTAAATGGTTCAGAGAAAGGAGAAACACAACATTCTGTAGAAGGCAATGTTTGAAATAATCTGCCCATGGGGATCTTTGCCCCGCTCCCATTTATTCCTGTTTGTGCAATTTCTTTCTTAAAACCCCATATTATTGCTCACTGCTGATATAACTCACACATAGTGAATATAACTCCAAATGTTCTTTTCTTTCAGGTACATTCCTGTCCCTTTTCTGCAAGTCTCTCTGCATCTGGGATTTTAATGATATTGTGGAACAGCGAGCTCCCCGGGTGATTATGCACAGCGCATTAGAACAACACTGTTTAGCTTATCCTTGTACGTGTGCTGCTGTTTGGGTTTATTGACTGTCCCTTTCTTCTCGTTTTCTGTGAAAAGTGTAAATAGGAGTACTTATATGTACCTTCTTTGTGCCATTCATTATTTTGTAAACTGCCATTATGTTGCATTTTACTCACTTTGTTTAGAAATTAAAATCATTTCAATTCTAGCTAGATTCTATTTCTAACTCTCTTAACTTTCCCAGCTCTGAAATGTTCCCCTCCTCTCTTTCTGATGTGTCCTTTGGGAATCAGTGAGAGGCAGTGATGCCAGAAGAGAACCTCCCTTCCTATACAAGCATTTGGACACAGTTCCCTGCTACTTTCTCTCCTGATCTTTATCCAACTCTGTTCTTCATTTGTTTAGGATTTCAGGGGGGTAATAGCATATATTTGCAATCCCCAGTGGACAACTATGGTGAGCTATTCATGGCGCTAGTTGGGTTTTCTGAAGAGGTGGCAGCTCCTCTGGACTGGACTTACCTGGTTTTCACAACCATCATCCCCTTCCTCTCAGGGAGCCTTTCCAGAGTGTATTCATGGGGGGAATCCTTTTCCCCTGCTCTGGCCTGGTCCCTTGGCTTTGAGGTGCCCTTGGCAATCCTTGTCTCCTATGGTCAGGCTTTACTGTCAGGGGCACCTCATCTGCCGTATGTGGTGAGCAGCCCTGGGGCTGGAGGTGCTGCTGGGTGGAGTATGGAGCCAAGTAACGTTTGCACAGTCCTCATCTTGCTTTTTGGGTTTTCCTTTCTTGGCTCGTGCCCAGCCCACAACCCCTTTTTGCCTCCCACAAATAGCTCTTTCATAAAGGTCTTTATCAAAACCTCTGCAAGTGTCCACAC